GAATTTTGGTTTTCGCTCTACTTGGACTAATAAAAGATGAAGGCTAGTTTGCAGTATATCATTCCTGCTCTCAATATTTTGAATAACTGGAATATTTTCTTCAGTTTTCATCATTTGATTTTTTTCCCTTCTAATTAGCATTTGAAATTGCATAGCAACAAAAAATACACATGAGAACAATTTTGTCTTGGAACAAAAATGACATTTTCCACGAGGGCGAAGAATGAGAGGGGTGGAATGCAGTCTAAAAGTCGAAGGGAAACGTATTCCACAGAGTGAAATTGTTGATTTCTTGGAAGATGACTTTGGGTCAACTCGGTTGGACCACGTGTAATATCACGCCATGTTCCAAAATTATTTTCACCTCTAACCTGTTTGCCATAGTCAAACTGTTAATATCAATAAATATAATATATTGTTCGTGTACATAATAATAGTACATATTCACATGAGCATAACAACCTATATTTGAATCATAAAGTAATAATATTAATATTTTATTAAATAGTATATCAAAAAAAAAATTATACTTAATATTGATACAAATTTTAACAATGATCTATATCTCCAAAATTATTATCTCATTATATAAAAATATGAAATGTGTACATTATATGATTTAATACATGTTATACTTACATGACTGTATAACATTGAAACTTTAAATAATAAAATAACATTGCACCTTGCCTTCATCAGTTAATTGTACAAATATCAACCTATATACAATATGTAGTTTGTGTTTATAATAATAATATTTACTACATATTCACGTAAGCATAACAAATTATATTTGAATTAGAAAGTAACAATATTAATATTTATTAAATAGTATATAATTTTTTTTTATTATATTTAATATTGATCGTACTAAATGTATTAACAATGATATAAAAAAAAATTACAATCATTCCAATATTTATATGAATTGTAAACTAAAGTCTTGAAAAAAAAATCAAGATTATACATGAGTTTACTTTGTTAAGTTTCCTTTCTATTCAAATACAAGATTTCTAAATTAAAGGATGTAGAATAATGGAGTCACAAAATACACAAAACTGATTTAAAAAAAGTTGAAAAGGCTTGTTGCTGGATAAATTTATTTTTTAAGGTGTTTATACAATTAAAATGTGAAGAAGGATAAATCAAACATAAAAAAATAAAAAAATAAAAAAATAAAATGCAAATTACACTTGACTATTATTGGTTATTCTTTTCTCTATTTATTTACAATATTTGTAAATGTAGAAAGAAAGATTAATGGAGCCGCAGAACACACCAAACTAATTTCAAATAATGTAAAGAAAAGAGAATCAAATATGAAAACATGAGAAAATGCAAATGATATCTAACTTTTGTTAGTTAACTTAATTTTCTTCTATTCAAATGCAAGATTTGTAATGGAAGGCAGAAAGACCTTCCAACACAAATAACTAATTTCAAATTTTAAAAAACTATTTAGTAGAAGGTTTATATATATATATATATATATATATATAGAGAGAGAGAGAGAGAGAGAGAGAGAGAGGAAATGATATTCTCACACTAGTGTAAGTCTAAAAACTCTTACACTCGATCTGAGTCTTTCATTTATCTTACATCTAATGATTATTAAGGTAATAAATTATAACTCGTTAGATTTAAGTTAAATGAATAGCTCTAATTGAGGGTAAGAATTTTTAGACTTACATTAGTTTAAGAAGATCTTACTCATATATATATATATATATATATATATATATATATATATAAGAAAGTAAAAAAGAGAATGTGAGATGAATTTTTATCCTTTTCAAATATTAGAGAAAATAAGTTAATTAATTAAAAAATTAAAAATAGATAATAATTTTGATATAAACTAAGACAATATTTAGTTCTTTTAAATTCTGTAAAAAAGGAAGGAATGGAGTATTTTTAATGCATGCATTTTTAAAAACTATTAATTACACTAATTGTTATGAAAAGATGAATTAAAATATTCGTATTGAAATAATTAAAATATATCAACAAGTAATTTAAGTATTTAAAAATATATAACTAAATTAAAATATTATTAAAAATTATATATTTTTAAAAGTAATAAATATTTTGTCTGCGACACAGGGAATGACTTAAATAAGCTGCTAGTGCACAAAAGAAAAAGAGAGAGAGAAGTTGCCAATGATAAAAAAACAGCCGTTAGATATCTGAGAAAATAGTCAATGATAAAAGCATGGTCGTAAGATGAATCAACGGTCAGCATTAACTATGTAATTAATGGGTTAAAAAAGCAAAGACGATGCAGCAAACGACAGCGATGCAACAACTTTGAAGCACAAGTAAAATTGATATATAAGAATGAGAATAGGAATATTCAACTTCTTAACAAGTTCACAGAACCAACCTTGCAACTTCTCAGGACCCCAGTTTTCACAATCTTCATCATCTCTCTCTAAACCAAAAAAACTCATTCATCACGTACCCTAAGATTAAGAACCAAACCAACCCATATCTCAAAATAAAAATATCAATGGAAGATGAATCAGCTTCTTCTCGTAGTAAATCCCGAAATCGTGACCCTTTGGCCAACTCTACCCGTGACATTCTTGTGGCGGCTCATAAGCTTATGCAGCTCAGCGACGAAGATAACAACAATAACAATGATGATCAGGTTGATGTTAATGGCAATAGGAAGAGAATTTCATGTGAAGAAGAGGTTGATCAAAGACCACCAAACGATGAAACTTCAGCGAAGATCAAAGAGATATTTGGCAATGACACTGAGGTGATTGCTCGACCAAAGAAGATGAAGAAATATCGCTCTCTTGCGGTTATATATAAGGTGACAACACCCATTTTTCATTCTGGAAAAGGGAAAAGGTGAACCAACTTACAAGTTAGTGTTATAAAATTTAATTATTCTACAAGCAACTTAACAGTTAGGGTTAATTTTATTATTCTACCAAGAAGCAATTAACCTGCATGATGGTAGGAGGCTAGGCTAATATAAAGTAAAGATCCAAAGTATCTTCGTGTTGCGTGGTTGGTTGGTTTGGATTCCTTGTGAACTGAACCTTTTGTTAATCTTATTATTTTATAATTTCCATTCCAATTGTACATATAGTTGATTTTGTTGCTCCCAAGTCCCAACTGAAAACTGGTGATAGATAGAATGCTAGAATTTTGTTATTTTGTGATAAAAATGAGAGACATCTTATATTCTCAATTCAAAATTATCTGAGGAAGAATTGCGGTAGCCATTAATTCTATGCAGGTTCGTTGTTTGTTTCGTTTTACTTGATATAGTTTTACACGCTGATCGATGAAGTTTTCTACTACGAAGTACAAACACGGGCACATCCATTTCGTATGTTATACACCTAATGTTCCAAAAAGCGACCGTGGATATTCAAGTATATAATTTTCTGTTTTGATATATATATATATATATATATATATATATATATATATATTTCTGCATTCTGCATGCGTTTAATTGTATGCTGTTCTCTACTGAAGGGGGAACTTCATATTGAAAATGCTATACATAACAAATTAAGAAGAGGTGTTTATGGGTTATTTCTATCCCTTATGTACATAAAGTATCTGAATTTTTCATTTTTCGTCACTTATTCCCCAAGAACTGATCTGTCTCCTTCTTAGGCTTAGATTGGACTAGACTGAATACGAGTTTTGGTGAGAACAGTGAATTTTTATGTGCAGGTAGTTCAGCAGGTTATTAATACTAGAGGTTCTATGATGACGAATATATACATGATTGATACTAAAGAGGTTATCTGACGAAGAATAAGTGTTTAGTTCCTATTGTTCATGGTTTGGATTTTAAATTACAGAAAATTTAATTAGAACGGTTTCATTCCTGAATCTTCTGCGCTCAGATTTTTATTTTATCATTGAACTTGGGTGGTAATAGGCGACCACTACACTTGAACCAAACTGCTTCGTAAGTGCCAAAACTTCGTATAATTCAACAATTTCCCAGCCATTTGCTTCTACGCCTATTACCGTGTTAAGAACTGTAGCAATTTTTTCCTTTTTAAAGATTATGAAAGTAATTGTTTTAACTTTTTATGTTAAGCCATGATTGTTTGCATATTTTCAATTAAAGAAAAGGAATACAAATGGAAGAGAATATTGCATGACCATCATTGTCAGTAATAATGCTGATGACCATACTTTGCCCATTTATCCTTCTGTCTCGAGCAAACTTCCATTGAATGGTATAATGTTGGGTCGGTATAGACTAAGCGATGAACAAGTATATGACTTCTCTCTTTTTTGGTATTGAGTACAATTTATTCACGCAATAATTCTTAAGGTTAATCGTTAAAACATATTTGTTTAAGTGTGAAATTATATATATATATATATATAAACATAGTTTTGTCACCTGCAAAAAAATTTTGAAAATTTTTAGTATGATAAAAAGGAGTAGAAAAAGACTCCGACAATTCTTGAAGAAAGTTATTAAAAGAGGTATTTCACAAAATAAACTTTAGATTTATTATTCTAAATTTATAAAAGAATTCAAGCATTTTTAAAATTTAAATTGTAAAAAAGTTACATAGCTATTATAAACTTTTTAAGATATGTTTTCCTTTAAAATATTCCTTCTGTTGTCATGTGTTTGGTTGCTAAATATTGAGTCAACCATCAGCCACTTATAGAACAAAAAGAACGAATCAACCACGTTGTAGATCAGAACTTATGAACCTTGGAAAAATGCTTTGAAATAAAACCCAAAGCGTAGACCGTAAAATCTATAACTGAATTTATAAAAGACCGCACTCAAGATTAATTCCTTGACCTCTACTGCGTCAGACATTCATGTCGTGTTAAGTGTTTTATACTACTAAAGTCGTACTTCAATCATTGATGCTTTTACACGAAGATGATGTGCTAAAGTAGCTGCTAGAATTCAAATTTTTCTGAAGACTTCTTTCTTCTTTTGAGGTGGTTGGTACGGGAAGACTAGTCTATGAGGCCATGAATCTACCCAAAATTTTTAGTATACAATATAGAAATGAAACATCCACTTCAAAGTTCAAACTATGATAATAATAATAAAAAAAAAAACAAAAAAAAAAACACTTACTGCAATAATTCCTAGTAAAAAATTTTACAATTTCAATTTTATGGAAGTCTTTAAACAAAGGAAATATATCTAACTCAACCTACTGAACTTAGCAAAATTATAGAGGTTACAAAGGAAAAGAGCTACAAAAACAAAACTGCAGGAAGACGGTTGCAACACTGAACGCTTCAAATAATACCAACATATAAGCAAATCTCACAAAGAACTAAACAGAGAGGCAACCATCTTCTAACTTAAAATATACATGATAACCAACACCTACTCGATTCAAGCCACCGCTCCCCGGCCACGACCACGTCCACGGCCTCTTCCCCTTCCACGTCCACGGCCTGTAAAACCATCACATAAAAATTATACTACAACGTCCACTCAAGTAGTTTTTAATAGGATGAAAGCTCTAAAAGCTGAAACAAAAGGAAGAAAGGCGCACAGGAAATTAAAAAGACAAGGAAAACAGCAGTGAATTAAAATGAAGTAATTCTGTAGCCTGATTTAATAGGAAGCATAATGTTACTTAAATATCACAGCATAATACGAGACTAAAAGAAACAAATCCATTCAATATGCTGGCACACGCCTGGCTTTTATTAAAATCTCATCCGATAATACAACTGTAATTTAAGCCACAACTTTACTAGCACGAAATCTAAATTTTGAGGATTTGCATGCTTACCACGTGGGGCAGGTGGTACATCATATTCACCATAGTCATAGTACCCAACCGGCTGGGGACCATAGCCTCGTCCTCGTCCCCGTAAACCACGCCCCCTTGCACGGCCACGCCCTCTGCCACCATAGCCACGTCCACCATCCCAGCCATCACCATAATCCATACCCCCATTGTAAATTCCTAGGTAGAACAGATTGTGTTCAAGTAAGCAACATTCTAAAAGAAACCACAACCACAAAAAGGAGCTCATGAAAGTATTTCTGCTCATTCCAAAATCCATACTCCAGCCATTTAGAGTGAATAAGTGAAACAAAGTACTTGTCAATACCTCTACCCCTGCCCCTTCCACGACCACGTCCTCTTCCTCGCATCCTTGGTGAGCCTTCTGTATCAGATCATATTAAAGTCAACATGCCAATTGCCACAATTACCACAGAACATTCGTTCAAAGATTGAAAGAAAAAGGCTATTGATTCACCTCCTTCCTCTTCATATTCATTCAAAGGCTTTACTTGATCAGCTGGTAGCGGAGGTTGGTATCTGCATGAGGAAAAAAAATTAAATTCTTGCCAACAGGTGGATATAATAAAATACAACCCAATCACTCTAAACCAATGGGAGGGACCCTATCCTCCACCAAGGCTCCCCACCTCCTCCCACAAAGGGCTAATATCCTAGTTTCAGCCCCAGGTACAAAGTATAGAACACAGGTTTGTGGTCTGGTTAGATATGTAACAAACTAACTGAAACAAAAGAAATATCTTCTTTTCATCAACACAACCAAGCACATTACAAATATTCTCAGAGAACATAGATCTTCCAGTAAGTTCAATATTTACAAGATTGAATATTTAATATGCTCATAAGACTTCTAACATAGAAGACAACCAGGCTTGTAAATCACGACTAGACTTACAGGATTGAAAATTTAATAGAATCCATTAGTAGGAGCCAAAAAAATAGAAAAGCAAAAAACAAAAAGTGCAAACTTGCTAGCGCCTTCAATTGATACACTACAAAGTTGATGAAGTTGAACCTCCCATCAGACTACACGAAAATCAGACAGAATAAGCAAAACACCATCATAGACCTTTACTTCAAACTTGAAATCAAGGATCCAATATGTTCCCTTGTCCTCAACACAGTATTTTAAAAACTTAGTAGAAGTCAAATGCCAGCCAGGCCTTTAATTTTTTTGAATCAAGGATATTATGTATGAAATAAGGGAGGTTAAACTGCAAGAAACATTTACATAATTCAAATTCACTCAAATGTGTTTAAATTAAAAAACAATTGGCCCTCTCACGTGAACTTTGCACAAGTAATTTACCAGAAAAAGTGGAAAAAAAAAACATTTAATTTATGAGCATAATGATCATGATTCATAAAAGAGAGTAATGAAGCCAAACTTAACCAGTGATCTAGTAGCTTGACTCACAAATAAGCCAGCCAGTTAAAATACAAATACATGGCACAAAAAAAATACATTAAAAGATAAAGATGTCACATGAGATATCACACAAGTTCTCACCCTGTGGAGGAAGTATCCAGTTCTTTCTTTGACAAGGTGATGGTGATCATTGAAACATGGCGAGTAGTCTCCAAACTGGGAAAGTAAAATACAACCAAAACTATCACTTCCCAACACACAGAAATAAGGTATTTGATAAGGTAGCATAGAAGAAACAACAATCCATACGGAAGAAGGCCCTCTTCTAGTGGTTCCCATGTGTCAGTTATATCAGTTGATCCAATTAGTGTGTTTTGATGCAGACCAACAATTCTTCTCTGAAACAAGAAACAGAGCAGTCATAAAAGAAAGATAAACAAATGCAGACCAACATACTGCATAAGATACAGATCCTCCCACCTTGATCAGCTCAGCAATCATTACAGTCTTATTTATTGCACGTCCCATTGCTTTGAGAACAATTTCATCAGATCCTTTCTCCTATAAAAAATACATACAAAACAGGATAAAATGTTACATAAAAATAGTAATATAACAGCTTTTTCTACATAAATTGATACTTGCACGTATTTATTGCACCAAAAATAATATAATGGAGAAATCCTAGCACCAGCAGAAAATTGATATAAATGAAATAAACAAATAATAGAAGTAAACAGAGAGAAGTAGCCCTAAGCAACAAACAAGGTCGTCCTAAGAGGGAAGCTGATTATTCTAACAGTAAGATAATTACAAAATATAACCTGTCTGAAAGGATGAGTTATCAAGCATCAAAATCAGAGAAGTAAAGGACTATTGTCTTGAATGGTTTGATGTATGCTTAAAAACGAAAATTTCAGAGTACATTTCGACAGAAAATTGCATAAATATTTATCCTTCAATTTTTCAGCCCCAGGGCGTGTTTGCAGCAGGGATAGCATGGGGAGAAGTCTTAAAGAGAATAAAATTTATAGAGGGGAGGGATCAAACGTTTGGTATACCAGTTTTGGAAAGGAGCAAACCCTAAGAAAGGAAATTTTGCCCCCATTAAGGAGTTAACAAGTCAGGCACAAAGTACTGCTCTCTCAACCCGCACACTATCGTTCCAACCATCACTCTCTTTACTCGTGTATGCTCTACACTCTATCATCTCTCTCCGGCTCTGATTGTTCTCCTGTCAGTCAACACTCTGACTCAAATAGTGCTCATTGTTTTTTCTCTCTGACATCAGACGTGATGATTTACCAGAAACTTCTCTTCATTGAATTTACAGATTTTTTTTTATCACTGGTTTTCTTTACTGATGTGTGAGTCATTCCCCAAAAGTTCAATTCTCTTTTCTGTTATCAGATTCTTTAACTGACAACTGATTTTCAAGCTCTCTTTTCTGGGTTCACGATGTTCTCATGTTTTGTTATGATTATGTTTGGTTTCAGATATATTAGAGTGATTAAGTCATCTAGACACTCCACTCTGTGACTAGTGGGTAAGATTCTATTTGTGAACTAAGCGCACCTAACTTTAAGGGTTTATTAAAACATAAATCTCAAAAAAATTACTCATTTTACAACACACCAAACACGTGAAAAAAAATTACATCAACAAGATGAAAAGTTTGTCCCTTAAATATATATTATAAAAAAGGCACCCTAACGTTAAGGTGATACAGAACAAGCAGTGTAAGTATTTACACGAGGCATACACACAGTGAAAATTTGCACCTTAAGACAGTAATTTCAACAGTAATTATGTCTTAAAAATGCAGAGGAAGATGGGAATAAGTGATAGAAACCTGAAGGAGAGTGGTGGCGTAGGTGATATAATTCCTCATCCTTCCTTGAGTAGTAATGCGTATCTCGTTCTCGTTTATAGGACTCTCAGCCTTGGGCTTCTCTACCCTCTGATACCTATCCATCTAAAGGGAAAAAGGAAACGGAAAATCAATTTTAAAAAACAAAGCATCGATTATGGTGCGTAGTGGCCGAGAAAGATGAAATCGGAGGATGCTAATAGCTAGGGTTTAAAGAATGATGTGAAATACCGTTGTGTTGTGCGTGAGAGTCTGGAGGATATGCTAATGTTACCAACCACTCACTCACTCACTCGCTTCTTCTGAGTAGGCAAAGGCAGGTTTTGGGGATATGGGGGGGGTTTGTGTTTGTGGTTTGAAATTTAGGCTTCGAAAGAGAGAAAGAAAGGCTAAGCTGCTGTGGTTGCAGTCTCTATGACTATGACTAAGAATGGTATAACAAAGCAGAGGAAAAAGGCTGATGAGTAGGGCTATGAGTCGCGGTCTTATCGCCGAAGAGATCGCCAAACTCCCCTTCCGAGTTGCAATCCTCAATGGGCTTTGTTGGGCCAGCCTACCTATTCTTATTATTTTCCACTCAAATAATTTATATTTATGGAAAAGGTTATTCATACTATGTCGCAGGAAAATTACAACTAGCGTGATTAGATGTTAAATTTATTACAATAGTATTTTCAACTACGTAACTTTCATTATTTTAATGATTAGTAAAGTTATTAAATTATTTAATTATGGTTAGAATAATTTTAATTTCACCATCAACACCTCCTCATGATCTGAGTGAAAGGGATACAATCTCTTAAATATGCACATTGTTTTTTAATCATGAAATTTAACAGGTGAGAGATTTCGCCTCAATACTTAACTGTACTTTCGGAGATTAATTTTTGTTTCCTCTTTTATAAAATAGAAAAAAACTTGTTTGACAAGTGTAATTTTTAAAACCTGTTTTCGAAAACTGAAGTTTTGATCAAAACACCTTTTTTATGAATCTGTCTTTTTTCTTCTTTTACTCCCCTTTATTTCCTTTAAAAAACAGTTTATAAAAATTATTTTACAATATAGTTTTTAAAATCTAAAACTAAAAACCGAAAGTACAGTCAAACAATCCCTAAGAAACTGAAAAAAATCTTAACAAATTTCTGAATTACTAGGATAAGAATTTTTAACATATTAAATGTATTTACTTTTTTAAATAATCATTATATATATATATATATATATATATATATATATAACATTACACTAGTTTATTCATCTCAGTTTCAATTACAATATTTTTATTTTATCTTTTATTTTTACTATTAAATCAACATCCTAAAGCTGATTATTAATATTGTCTAATGTCATCCAACTAGTATATTCCCATTTTTACTAAAACTCAGTTTCCCTAAAAAGAATAATGAAAAAAAAAAAAGGCCAATTACTACCTTGTGAATGCGCTAATTTTCTTACTGTCTGTAGGTTCTTTTATTATTCTTACGGTAGTTACACTAGAACCCTCGGAACAATAGAAATTTGATTCAGATCAAATTTTGATTTCAAATTCATATCTAACTTGGAAAAATAAAACCCCATTTAGATGGAAACCAGTGGTCCAGGAGCAGCAAAACAAGAATATAAAAAAGATAAAGCCAAGGCACTATGGTTAAAATACATTTGAGTTGACATCTAGTAAATTACTGATCATGAATATCACCACCTGGACAGTAGAATTTGTGTGATCATACATCTAATAGTAGAAGTCATGAATCAAAATTTATAAACTAAACTCAATTTCTGAAAACTAAAACGAGAAAAATATGCAGATGATCTTCTTTGAGGGCCACTAGGTCTGTAAGCACTTCTTCAAGCTTCCCCTTTAAACTTGGCTTCGTATATCTGAGGTTGCTGCAAAACAAACAACTACTCTTGAAATACTCGTTTATAAAAAAAATGTGCAGCAAAACCACAAGCATGCTATTTTATGATCAATTTATGTACCCCCACTAGTACACCTTCACATATAATAGCATTCGAATTTAACTTGACTCTGAAAATTGCCCGTGTAACTCAAGTTGTGTGGTAACAAGGTGATGTGCACAGAGTACTACTACACAGCAAGGCACAGGGACTAAAGCGCTCATCTGCTAGTAACTCAATAATGGCCAATGAAATAAACATCTCTATCTTAGCATAACTAACTTTCCTAGTTCATAATCTTAACACCATATAAAAAGTAGTGAAGGTATAAATAATATGCAATTGAAACAAGTCTTGTAACAATGAATGCACAAACATTCACCATCAATCAGCATATATGTTGACAACAGAGTTGGTTCAACTGAAAAGGATCACACCACTTAATTTGAAAGAACAGAGTTTGATTCCCCCAGCTTATCAGGTCAAATGATTCCCCAACCCTTCAAGAGAAGGTACCCAATAAACCAATCAAGCTTTTATTATATTGCAAAGCAGATTGCAATATATCCCATTAAATTTGGTTAAATCACACTGACATCCCTTGTTTTGTAAATTCCATTGACATTGATCTCCCCAGTTTCCACACACAAACCCTTCATATGAAACAATGGAGATCAGCACAAGTCTCACTGTAATTTACTTGTTTTAAATTTGCAAATCTGTACAAAAAGCCATCAGGGAACTTAAGACAAACACATACCATGAAGATAGCTGAAATCAATCTGCGTGCAAACCACCTCATGTGCATTGCACGTTGAGCAGCACTTGCTGCTTCCACCGTTTCGAACTGCAAATAAACAAAACCTGCACTTCTTCTGTATACAAGAATAATCAATTCATAAATGGCAAGTATGCACAAAATGAAAATGGGAAAAGTAATATAAAAGAAGGGATAGACATTCATGGACGAGTGCTACAAATTCATGAACTTACTTGTCAACATAGATATGCTTCACCCTCCCAAATTTAGAACACTCTTCTTCTACATCCTCTTTAATGTCTAGATCAAAATCTGGTTCCGTCTTCATATTGTAATATTAGATATTAGTACTTCGTTAAATGAAAGAGCAAAGGGTGATTGTAATCATCAGTTAATCCTCACCTCAGTGGTTGGATCGAACATATTCTTCAACAGTAAACACTCACTGGGATTTCCAACAGGTTCTGCCACTTGGGTAGGTATAACTTGAGTTGGGAGAGTTGGTGGGGGTGAGATACCTGGATTACCAATGGGCATGCTAATAGCCTGTTGAACAGGTGCTGATCCGTTCACAATGGGTAGACCAATGCTGCAGTGTTTGGATTCTGTTAAGATAACGGATGAGTTTACAAAATATGAGAGAAAGATATTTAGACAAACCTAGCAGCAATGCCAGAGCGGTCCAGCTTCTGCATAAGCAATGCTCTTGATTGGGCATTTAAAGCCTGCATATAGCATAAAGCATAATACATGAGCAAGAATTCACTGCCAAGAAAAGAATAGATAAAAGTAACATTTGGCCCATTTTTCTGGACCTTTTTTCTTCCTTAGGGCCCCTATAGAACCACTTCTTCCAGATGGAGAGGATTCCGAAACGGAAATCTCCAACCAATCGTTAGGAGAAACTAGGTCCAACACAATTTTAGAAAAGCTCTTAACAGTAAAAGTAGCCTTTTTAATGAACAAAGAATAGAGTTTCTGTGGAAGATCTTCTGCTTTTAAGAAGAAAAGCCTAAAGAAGCCAATTAATACACTGCCAAAATGATATAGTTATTAAGGGGAAAAAACATTGAAAGAGGGGAATGGGTAGAAAAGAGGTCATAACAGTTCCTTAACCACTACCACCCTGCCCCAGAATCTCAGATAGAAAAAATTTGCAGTTTCTGACTGCAGCATAAGTGGAAGCAGAAAAAAATAAATACTTAAGATTTTGAACCAGATCAGGGAAGAGGGAATGTTGGAAGGACCTACTTCTAAGCCTAGTGAATATGGAAAAGCATACACAATTAACAAGACATCCTTAGTATATGCTTTGAATGACATCTTCAATTAATAATGCCTTAGCATTTATTTACTTAGTAAAGAAAAACAAAAATGGTCAACACTCAACACAACAGAACTAAAGCTCCAATATATGTATCTATCAAATAGCAACAAGCCACTCATCAATCTCCAAATATTTTAAGCTAGAATTATTAGACACTAAGAGTAATATTGAAACAAACAAAACTTCGATCAATCAAGCCTAACAAGCTGGATTAAAAAAATCCACCAATATAAAATTATTGTAAGATGAGAAATAAAGCTCACTGCACATTGTCCTGCAGGAACCAATTATCTTTTCAAGTTTTAAATAAGGGAACACTTACCAATCCACCTTCATCATCATCAAAGTCTGCAGATTTTGCAGTTGTATCTTGGTTTCCAACATGATCTGTTACAGATGAAACCTGTGTTTGATAAACAGCATTAATTACAAACTAAATGACAAGAAAAGTGAGAAAAACAAATAGACTCACAGAAGCATTTCTACCTTGATAGTCCTCCCAGCGATTTCCAATTTTCCATTTAAACTCTGAGCAGCCTTGGCATGCTCAAGATGGGCAAACTGTCCAAGAATTAATATATAAAATAGATAAGTAACAATTATTATTGGAAAAAACACTTTTTTAAGTTAAGTGCTAGAAACGAACTTGAACAAACCCAAAACCCTTGCAATGTCCTGTCTCCAAGTCAAGAGGCAGTTGTACAAGCTCCACTGGACCAAATGGCTCAAAAATCTAAAGAAAAAATGTGTCAAAACTACTTGTTACAAAATTATTTTTGTTAAAGTTTGACAGCAGACTAGGTGCACTGAACCAGTTTAGAGGAAAACTACTTGGTTGTTTTTTGCATGTATATTTTAATTAAATAATTGGTTGGTTCTCTACATTCATATTCCAAATGATGAATGGAAATAATGATAACCATGTCAAACGTATCCACCAGACAGCAAAAACCACATACCTCTCTCAACTGACTCTCAGTCATGTTGAAGTGAAGGTTCCCCACGTACAGTTTTCTGTCCACAGCTCCATATGGTCCTGCTATCCCAGCACCTCCACTAGTCGTATTAGATTGAACAAGGTTCTTTTCAGCCTCAGAAGGTTTGACCATTACAGGTTGTCCGAGAAGAAGTTGGCCAGAGAGCGCAATTGCCATTGGCACTGACATTGCATCATAAAATTCAATATACCTGCAGCCTCATCAAGAACCTATATCAAGTTTTCAGAACTACAAAATACAAACTGTTCAATCAAAACTTACAAAGCAGACAGCAAAGATGTAGGGAAACAAAAACTCTAGTGCAGACAGCTCAAGCTGCAAGTATCTTTTGATGCATCTGACTCATGCAAAGAAAATGTTAGCCTGACATAATAAAGATATAAAACTAAAGCATATATTTCAATCAAGCGGGAATATGACCATATTAGAAAGAAGAGAACATAGGAACCACTACGACAGGGAAGATTAGGTAACCAGTAACTCATCTTCACTTATAGATGTGCAAGTGAGCAAATCAAATGCTAAGAAGTGGAACCCAACTTAAGGCCGGCCTAATACTGCAGCCCACTAGTCAGAAATTCTGAAAGCCAAACAGCACCAAATTTATATGCATTGCATCTAGATACCTACTGACCATCCGCTCCACATCCCACCCCCCCCCCCAAAAAATAAATAAATAAAAACAATGTAGAAGAAAATTCCCTCCAAAACAACCCTACTGAGAAATATGTAATAACCAGTTCAAGTGATATAAACTGAAAAGGTTCAACAACAAAAGAAAGAAAACCTCACTGTATGTGTATGGCAAACGTAGAGGAAGAAAATTGGGAAAGGACCAAAAAGAAAACCAGGATTATGTCATCTACCTTGAGTACGCAGCATGAATTGATTAAACATGAGTGCAAGGTATTCCCATCATCCCTCATCATTATCGCATTGCTAGTCCATTTAAGAATACAGTTAAACATGATTCTTGAAAGTTGATATCCTAATACCACAATAGCGCATGCATATGAAGAATAAATTATTTTACAAGAAAGCACATACCCAACTCCTTTGGAACGTCTTGAGTTCCTATCCATGATCAGACGAACATCCCTGACCTGAAAATAAGGGATATTTGATGTAAATAGAAATGAGGAATTACCATATGATAGAGGAAGTAAGGAAGATACAAGACATTCATTTCACTCTAAAAATGCAAACAACTACATCGAGGGGTTAAAAATATTCACATAACCTCTTATCCACTCACAGCATATAGAGTGTTAAACACAATAAAGTCACTGTACTACTCAAAACCAAAGCCCCAGCAAAGAATATTGATTGTTATCAGCCTATCACTCCATACAATGGCAGCACGAATCATCTCCCACTTGTAAATAGTAAAACATGATATAAAATAAACTGTATGCAAAAATTTAAATCAACTGACCTTGCCAGCTTTTGAGAAGAACTCATAAACATCCCTCTCTGTTGCCTTTAAGGGCATCTGTAATCACGATATGGCAAATCAAATAATCATCAGAAAAGGATGCCAAATTCCCTCCTAAGATATCAGATGTTATAATATTTATAACAAATAAAAGGGCCAACCAATCAACCTGATAAGCAAAAACAGTTCTCTGATCCCTTTCTGGATCTGCCTCAGGCTCCACTGCCTCTTTCTTTTCCCTAAATTTCCTGCAATTCAAATTAAGATTTAGCTATAAGAAAATATGTATAGAGAAATTCATCGAATTTAAACCTGATATTCAATTTGGACAATTTGCAGCATAAATCCAAACGTACATTGATAATAATAGAGTCCAAAACAGCACCTAATCTTGAGAGGGAGTAATGTCTCAAAATCATAACTGTAACCATTATTCCAAAATATATTGTTAATACAACAGTCCAAAGTAGCATTTAATCCTATAATATCCATACACACCAGCGCCCCTAGTCAGAAATTTTTTGTTCCTTGAGATAAATTAGTCAAACTCAAAACTATATGGGTCCTAACATTCAAAAAGAGCAAGCATCAACCTAGCTACTTGTGTAACTCAAAACTTGTCCCTAAAGGACAAACCCATACTTATGTTAAGTGATTATATGGATGAAATTTACATCTACCTCTAGAATGGTGAGCAATTAACAAGGTGAACACCTCACTCAGATAATACAAACAACAAGCAAAAATGAATTCAATCAAAACTGAAAATTTTCAAAAAAAAAAATGGCTCCACAAAAATGTTTTGTGCGCTTCCTTAAACCAAACAGCGCTCTCAGTTCCCTATTCCACCCCCTCCTTTTGAAAGGAAAAATGGATTGGACAAAACGTCAAGAGATATTAAGCTAAGGTTAACCACACCACCATGGATAATAGAATATCATAAAAATGATATTAATCGTGTAACTTCACTTTATTGTCTATGTTTCCATATTCTATACAATTTTTTTCTGCTGTATCCATAACCTAGTTTTTTAAAATATTGCGTTACCAGTCATACCCATAATACTCAAGCCAGAACCCATGAAGATGTAACTTAGCATACCCTTTATGAGTATTTCCCTAAGATGTACTAATATTACTATATATACATATTATATATATATATATATGTCAGATCTCCTTACACTAAGTCTTAGTGTAAAAGCTCTTACACTAGTCTTTCATTTAACTTACATCTAATGGGTTATAATTAGACATAAGATAAATAAAAGGCTTAGATAGACTGTAAAAGTTTTTAGACATACAACGGCCTAAGAAGATACTTCCCCATATGTGTATATATAATTTAAACATGCTTGCAAGTCATTTCTAAGGGTGAATAGTCAATTGTAGTTAATACATATATGATAAGTAACACACTCGTTCTTTTATCAATCATATAACAACTTCACCACATGTGCACCAAGCCTGAGCTGAAAACACTGGTTAAAGAACACAAATAGCCCATGAAAATAAAGCAAATCACTGGTGCAGTTGATGAAGGACCCAAAATTGGAGCGAAAAAGTCAAAAACGAAATTGGCGAACAATAAGCAAAATCAGGTTGAGGAAAAGAACATTACCGGTTATCTCTCATGTCGAAATCACGCTCTCTCTCTCTATCTCGCTCAGAACGACTCCTGCTCCTCCTAGACCTCTCTTTCTCCTCTCGTTCTCGTTCTCTCTCCGTTCTCTCTCTGTCTCTGTCCCTTTCTCTCCTATCCCTCTCCTTGTCCTTCTCTCTCCGATCCCTCTCTTTGTCTCTCTCCTTCTCTCTATCCCTGACTCTGCTACTTCTCTCACCGTCTTTATCTCTGTCTCTGTCTCTGCTACTCTTATGGCGGTCCTTGTCGCGGTCATCGCGATCCTTATCCTTCTTGGAGCCATTCTCGTCGTCGCCTCTGGACCTCTTGCTCTTCCTTTCTTCGGTGGCATCGTCGATCTCCTCGCGCTTTCTGTAGCTCCTTTCGGTCTTGTCGCTGCTCTCCTTCTTCTTCTTGCTCGAGTCTTTGTCCTCTTGCTCTTCCACTGTCTTCTCCAAGTAATCGTACTCGTCGAAGTCCATTGCTGCTTCTTGTCTCGAATTGAAGATTCTCAAATTCTAGGGTTTTTGTTTTTGGGGTTTTCTTCTCTCCAGATAGGAAACGAAAACAGGACGGATTTGGTTGGCTCCTCCGGTCTCCCTAATCTATAAACTATAAAATATTAAGAAAAATAAAATAAGATAGAAAACCGGAAATTCATGTTCCAATTCATTCAATTGGAAAAATTAATAAATAACTTTTGTAAATTATATAAAAAAATATGATAAAAACATATTAATATATTCTTTAACAAGGGTCGTGATATTTATAAAAAAGAATTAAACAAGTTAATACACTGCGTAAATATTTATGAACACAAGTAAAATATTAAAAACATATATTTGAATATAGCAAAAAAAAATTGAAAACTATTTTAAATTTGTATAAAAATATTTTGCCAATATTCAAAATAAGAAATAACATAAACATTTAAAATTATAACTATTGGTGGAAGAAGTTTTGAAAAATAGTTTAAAATTTTGAGAGAATTTTAAAAAAATATATTGAATCGAATACAAAAACACGATACATGTATTGCTACCTATATAAAAAAAAAACACTTAATAAAAACAGACGTTATCACCCAAAAGAAAAAACACGTAACGAAAAAACAAATTGCATATATTAAACAGCCAAGAATTATTATATATAAAATGTTTTAAATTATATCATCAAATAATTATCTAAATCTTTTGTTACATATACTCACCAACTAATATGTAATATTAATTTTTGAATTTATACGCAATTATCAATTTTGTCTTTAAAATTACTAAAGTGCCTCTAATTATAACAAAATAATAATAATTATTTTATTTACTAAAATTATAGTTATATGTTAATTTAGTCGCTGAAATTATAAAAAAGTAGTTCATAAAACTATTAAAATTAATCATTTTAATCTTTGACATAATAAAAAATTATTAAATAATTCTTTAAAAAACTATTTCTTATAATTATTAATATGTTTAGGTTAAGTGTCGAGGCGTTACCTGCATCATTGCCAGTGTTATAACATAATCTATTTTACGTATTTAAGGTTATTTCATTAAAAAAAATTGTTTTGTTTTATTTCAAACTATTATAACTTCTGACTGTTGAGTCTGTGAAATCTTTGTTCTTGAGATATTTTTTCTAATTGGGTTTATGCCAAAATGTTTTTTTTTTCTAATTTTAAGAATCAAATATTGATTTCTGATAAGTTTAGAAATTAAAAAATGTTTTTATATAATTTTAATTAATAAATTAACAAAGTTCTATAACTTTAGATACTAAAAAATGTACTATTTAGGATAATTATTTTAAAAAATCATTAAATCACTAATAATAAATTATTATTTACTTTAAATAAGTTAAATGGCCCAGTTTAAATAATTTCTTATAAGAGAAAAATAAGTATAAAAATAAATAAATATTTTCTTATAGGTTAAAAATATTTTATATTTAAAAAAAAACTCATTTAACTTTTGTAAAATTTAATAATTTATAATAAATGATGTGTAGGAATAAAAATACTACACAACTTCTAATTTTGTTGTTTTTATTATCATTAGAGTTTTGATTCAATGCTTGTATTAGCAATAATTTAGATTTTCATACTCTTTTAGAGTTCAACTTGAATAAACTACAATGTAAATGTTACTTCCTGGGTAGGTATCTTAATTTTGTAAATCTAATTTTATTTAAAAGCTTATTTATAGTAGTTTTTTAAATTAGAAAAGATTTAAAGTAAAATTTTAGTATAAATTTTATAATTATTAGGAAAAGTTAAACATTATATTATAACCATTATTTTGATTAATTTACTTTAAAATAACATAAGTTAAAAAAGTAATTTTTATGTGAACTCAACATTGATTAAAAGCTTACTTAGAATAATTTTAGATTAAGGAGGTGTATTGAATTAGGATTTTAAATAATTTTTTTAGTTAAAAAAAGTCATACGAATTTTAAAAGACTTTGCAGAATTCTGCAAGACTTTAAAATTATGATTTTAATGGATTTTGTAAGACTTTTAAGTCAGAATTTTAATTAATTATGCAGAATTTTGTGAATTTTTGCCATAAAATGTTCAAAAAAATTTTTATACATTCAAATTTAAAAAGAGTCAAAGACAAAAATAATAAAAAATAACAATATCTAAATAAATAATAATAATTTTTCATAATATCATGTTCTCTTAAATATCATTCACTCACATATTTATAGCTATATTAGTCCTTCAAGCATTAGTGTTTTTTCGCTTTTACTCCTGAGTTTGAATCATATACTCAGAATTATTATTTTCATTAACTGATAATATTAAACATGAAGGTTCGTCTATCGGTTCAATTGAAAATTATCAGAACGATATTATTTGCGAAAAAAGTTATGTAGTTATATAAATATGTTAGAAACTAGTTATATAAATAATTATGGATAAGAATACTTATTAAATTTATATATCACCTAATATGTCCATATATAATTAAAAACAATACTATAACACTATAAAGGCTTAACTGTATATATATACACATGTATATGGTATATATTATTATTTCTATATTTTAGATATTTAAACATCAATTTATTCAATTAAAAAAATGTTATATGGTATAGACAAATATCTCAATAGTTAAATGTGCTAGTTAACTATTTAAAGATCTACAATTGATTGTAGAGATCATGATATCAATTCTAGCTTTTACCTTTTACTTTTCTTAACGCGTGTTATAAAAAAATTACTACTTAAAAATTAAAATTTCAAGTGTTTTATGTGTTATATATGTGAGAAACAAACTTAACTAAATAAAACAAGTCAATGACACTGTCATTTATGTTTTCACTAAATAGGAGAATGAAATGGTAACAATAGTTTAGTATTATATATAAGCAGTAGTGCAATATTATTAGCAGAGAAAAAAATGGAGAAGACAAAAGCATACAAAAAAAAGAGATGAAAAATTTACTTGAGCACTTAAAAAATCACTTCAAACAATCCTCCAAAATTTGATGGGTTTGGATGTGATTGTTTTATAAATTTGGTATTTATAGATACCACTAAAAGTCAAATCCCTCTAATACAATAATCCTTTAAAATTCTTATATTTTTTAATATCAATGGATTATTTTTAAATTGCAAAAAGTCTCAAATGAATACCAATAGTTTTTAATGAATTCTTTAAAAAATATTGAAAATCCAAATTGAATATCACTGGATTATTTTTAAGTGACTAAAATCCTAATTAAATACTAATAGACATTTTTACTTTAAAAAAAAGTTTTAAAATCCTATGAAATTCTAAACTAATAAATCCACTAAAAAGTTTTAAAAATTTAAAATATATTTATAAATAGTGTTGAAACTTAAAAGTAATTTATTATGTTTCAAAAATTAATCTAAATTATTTTTATTTTAATGCGAAAAAGTTGAGTTATGAAAGTAGTAGTGTTTAAAAAGTTGCATATGATAATTCTTGTTAAGTTTTATAATTTTTAAACATACAATATGGTCATGACAAAAAAGTAAGACGAATTACTTTATATCCATTGTTATAAGTTTGTTCACTTTGATGTATCATAATTTTGACTAAACAATTCTAAAACAGATTAACTTAATATTATAAAAACTTTAAAATGTCAAATTTTTTGTTGTAAAATTTTAAATTTATCTAAATTAAAATGTTTGATGTGGTTGCACTCAATATGATATTTTGGTTTGAGATCACACACACATGTTAAGATGTTGTAAGTTTAAGGACAAATGTAAGTTTGTTTGATGTTGATAAGTGATTAAAGAGTTTACAATTGGCATACTAAATTAGGAGATTTAGCCTAGAGGCCAACTAATGGATACTTTGTATCATAAGATAGTGGTGTTAGTTATCATACCTCCTTCGAGTACTTGTTATTGGGTCGTGGTAGAGTGTATAATTAGTATGTTTCACAAAATAAAATTATGTGATTTGACTATATGTTATTAGCACTGTGTGGTGTCTTGGGTTGCAAACATGAAACTTTAACCAATTGTTTTAGTATTTTGATCTAAATGTGATATGTATGAAAATTGATATTACTACACCTAGTGATTGGCGAGAGATGGGATAATGCATGGTTGACATGTTGAGTGGGAAATTTAGTTTGGTTCATAGTCTAATAAGGACCATGAAGTATCTACCATGTATTGTAAGGTTGTGGTGACAATTATGCTAGCTCCACCAAACACTTAACATCATCAAGGTTGTGGTAGTATGTAGTTATGTATTGTCCAAATGTTTCACAAATTAATATCATGTAATTTTATTAGACATGTTAGCACCACATGACCCCTTTAGTTGTAAGCACAAGTCTCTTTGCATGTTCATTTGAGAAATTTATGATTTGTAAATTTAAGTAGTGATTAGGTGATCTCACATGTAATAGTTTGTGATGAGTTGTTGCATTATTTGATATAACTAGAATTGAGTTAATATTGATGCTAATGATAGTGATATGATTACTTTAATATATGTTTCAATCATATTATTATTTCTCTTTTATATCCACCTAGTCTAATTATATTATGTTTTAATTAATATGATTGTATCTTCGCCCTTTTACTTAGCCTCATTTTTATCATCTTTAGATGTCATAATAAACATGGATATGAAGTTACGCTATGGGATATACAAAGATGTTTACCTTACTAAAGACTAGGTGAAATTTGACAAACAAATACATTACACATAATGGCATTGCAGTATTTAAAAGTTTCTTGATATTTCTAACTAAATTGGAGTGGACATTTTTTTCACCTTAATTATGAGATCTAATTACTGGTGACACCTAACTTACGCATGAATGAAATAAGTATGATATCTTAAAACAAAATCTTATTGTCTTCATTAAAGAAATATATTTTAATTAAATTTAAGAGATACATTGTTAGTTAAGACTAAATACTTTAAATCATCACAAACGTAATGTAATTTAAATTTTTGAAACTTGAATATGTGTATTTGCTTATTACATAAGATCATGTTGAATAAAAGATTTGTTTATAAATTGTGAAATTCCATTAGATTTAATTTAATTCATATTTTTTAAATTTTTTAAAAAATAGTAATAGTTAAGTTTTGTTTAATATGAAACATATAT